CAGAGAGGTGGTGGAGGCCCCATCCCTGAAAACATTCAAGGCCAGGTTGGATGGGGCTCTGAGCAACCTGATCTAGTTAGCGGTGTCCCTGCTCACTGCAGAGAGTTTGGACTAGATGACCTCTAAGGGTCCCTTCCAACCCAAAACATTCTATGATTCTATGATTCTGTGATTCAGTGGTGGTGCATCTCACAGCTGGTCAACAAGGTGTCTGGGGTGAACATTGCCTCGTTGAATTACTGCTTGTGGCGAACAACTGTGTTGCCCGCCTTTCCAAAAAAGCAACATTTAGCAAAAGAGCAGTCTTCCCAGCTGCTGTGTAAAAAAGCTACAGAACAGGTTACTGGCTGCACTCATGGTTCATTGCTTTCTCTGTAGTGTCCTGTTGGTTGGGGTTTGCAGTCTCATGCATCACCTAAGCAGTCACCTAAGGCAGATACTGGCAAATGATTGTTTCCAAATCTTACGGAGAAGTCTGCAGTAGCAAAAATGCTGTCTTCCTCTGTACAGATTTGCTTTTGCATATCAGCTTGGTTTGCTGGTTATTTGGGCTGTGGAGAAAAGTCAACTTCCCTGACTGGGAAACATCTTTTTTGTGGATTCACCCCAGACTTTCACGCTGAGGAGTTAACAGAGCTAAAGAACAAAGCCAAAGGACTAAATTCCTGTGTGGGGCAAAAATAAATGAAAATGAAATCCCACAGCAGCCAGCTGTGCCTTTGCACGGTCGTAATGGCTGGTAGCATGATCCAAGAGCGTGGTCCTAGTGGAAACTGCCCCGCTACTGATGTCACAGGATCTGGATTCCTTTTCTTCATAAATGTGTGAGAGGCAAAGGAATGTCCCCCCGAGAAAGAATGGTGCAACAATTCTGTTGCTGAATGCCAGCAGACTCTCCTACTTCAGTTAAGCTTCATGTACCAGTATTGCTTTAAGTATGCATGCTCCAGTTCAGACTGCCAAGTGGGGATGATGGTCTGGGGGACATCCTGTTTTACGAAACTTGGGGTTTGGCGTGAACTACACATCTGTGAGCTTTCCCTGTGCCATGCATAATCCGAGTGTTTCAGGGGTTTCCAAACCATCTGCCCTGGATGCAGAAGTCCCACCTGCCTCCTCCAGAGGGGTAAGCCCGGCCCATCCAGTGACAGTGCTCACGCCTCTAAGCCGGTGGAGATCTCAGAAAAACCTGCTTTCCTCAGCCGCGCCATTAAAAGCAGCGGAGAAGCACACAGATTAGACAACACATTCTTGCTGTCCACTTCACAAATGAGCTCACGGGACAGCCAGCACGGTGGGACCTTCTGGCTTTCTACTACGTGGTTCGTACTGCGCTAGCCTGAGTTACCGCTTGCAGTCTCTGCAGCTCTGGGGTCACGCATGGAAATCCTCACTGGTGGGCTGCCGTGGAGACTCTCTGTGCCTTCTGCACTGGTGTGCTGGCACTTAACACTCGGCATGCTTAGTCCAAGAGGGAAATGAAACTCGGGAAATCCGTAATGATCATCCTGAGCCTCCCTTGAGGGAACAACATCGTGCATGGCTCCAACCAGTGGTATACAACACACCCTGCTTCCAGGCCCTCTGAAGGCATGCCGGCTTCCTTTTCATGGAGCACGTGTGCTGCAAAATGAAAGTATTACATAGACTGGGGATCCAACTGCAAGGTGAACAGAAAAAGTAAGGAAAGGGAGAGGATGTGCTTTAAGTACAGGTAACCTTTTTGCTGAATTGAGACAGAGGACCAGCGGATCTTCTGGCCCTGATCTTCCATCACCAGCTGTTATGCAGCTGCCAGTAGGCTGAGATCAGTAATTAGTTTTAACTTGTACACATCTTCCTAGCCTGACATAATGTGAAAGTGTCAAGGGGCAGTGACTCTGTGGCTTCCCTCTGCTGTTGGCTACAGTGTCATCCACCCTTCCCTCACTCCTAGTTCGGGTATGTCTGAAAGCTGCTTCCATCTTTCAGCTCCTCTTAGTTCCTCTTAAGCCTATCTCTGTTAGATGTCAAACACTGTAGGATGTGGCATGCCCTTCTTTTTAAAATGGATTATTTTGGCATTGTGCTGTAGTGCAGAGATACCCAAAGACTCTAAATGAGCAAAGTTGGGTTTCAGAGAAGTCTAAATATAGCAACATATGCCTCTTTTTTTTGAAGCAGATGGTGTTGGTCACAGTGGAAGAAAGCACATGGGGAATGACATGCGCTTTTGGGCTGATTTATTCCTGTGTGCTGGGTTGTTTTTTCCAATCTCTGACTTGCTATGCAATTAATTAGTACTTTTCTCTGCCTCGGTGTTCTGCCTGTAGAATTGTATTCGGTGATTTTACTTCAAAGCACAGGAGTGCTGGGACATTTCAGTGACATCCTTAACCCCTTTTGCTGTGTATTTCCCAAAACGTAACATAAAATGCTGTAGCTTGCCATCACAGCGGTGAGAACCCTGAAGTGCTTTGTTGCCTTTCCCTCAAATTATCATTATGCAACATGAGATACGTCTTCACTCAGATTTGCATGGCTCCAGTTTCCACACCCTGTGCCAATTCTGAGCTGATGTGACTGCACCGTGAGCTGATGTCATACGCTCTGTCGTGGTTTAACCCGGCTGGCAACTCAGCACCACGCAGCCGCTCGCTTACTCCCCCCCCTCCCTCAGTGGGATGGGGGAGAGAATCGGAAAGAAAATAAAAGGTTAGAGCCGAGGGCTGAGATAAAGACAGTTTAATAAGAGAAAATAATAATAATAATAGTAATAATGAGAATGATAACAGAATATACAGAATATACAAAACGAACGATGCACAACGCAATTGCTCACCACCCACCGACCGATGCCCAGCCTGTCCGGAGCTGCGAGCAGTCCCCGAGCCACGAGCAGTCTCCCCGCGACCGACTGACCGACTAACCCCCCCGAGCATGACGTTATATGGTATGGAATAGCTCTTTGGTCAGTTTGGGTTAGCTGTCCTAGCTGTGCCGTAGTCCCAGCTTGTTATGCACCTGGGCGAGCAGGAGAAGCTCAAAAAGTCCTTGAGTAGTCTGAGCACTACTTGGCAACAGCTGAAAACATCAGTGTGTTATCAACATTCTTCTGGTACTAAATCCAAACCACAGCACTATGCTAGCTACTATGAAGAAAATTAACTCTATCCCAGCTGAAACCAGGACACGCTCCACCGTGGAGCTGATGTTATACAACGGGAGAATGAGCTTGCCTTTTGTCTGGTCCAGTAGTGAAGTGCTGTCCCTAAGGGGGTCTTCTCCAGCTTTGTGTCCCGCACTGCGAAAAAGAGCCTGGACTTCTCCTAAGAACACTTAGGCTTGTCTGGCTGTTGCATTTGTGTGGATCCATCCTCTGCAGCCTCTTGATAGCTTCCTGTCTCATCCATACTGAGTGTTTTGGTGATTGTGTCCTCCTGAAGATTTCCCACCCTTTTCAGGCACTGGATGGGTCCAGTATTTGTAGGAAACTCATGCAAGTCTGTGTGAAATTGCCTCTTCCAATGAAGGAGGATCTACACAGACACAGACACTCAAACATCTTCCAGTGGGCTGAGACTTGGGAAAATCAGCTTGGGCCATTTCTTCCACTTTAGTGGGGTGTCATGAACAAGCTCATCCCTGCACCTTGGCCTCAGAGAGGATGTAGGCACCACCTCTATATTAACTATGGCTGTGTCAAGGGCTGCTGGCTTTACAGTAGCTGTGCATTAGACCACAACAGCTCTCCAAATCCACTGAGAGGCGAGTTTGAAGGTGAGCAAGATAGAAGCCTGAGGCTGAACCTCTGCTGAGCCAGAAGAGCCATCAGCCCTGCTGGCCAAGTGACCTTCTTTGGGGCTTATGGCAGCACAGTCTTGACATCTGCTTAGTGGTCAAGGGAAAATCTGTGGATGTAGTGTACCTGGATTTTGTAAAGCCATTGACACCATTTCCCACAGCATTCTCCTGGAGAAACTGGCTGCCCATGGCCTGGACAGACATACTCTTTTGCTGGGTAAAAAAATGGCTGGATGCCTGGGCCCAAAAGGTGGTGATGAATGGAATTAAATCCAGTTGACAACCGGTCACAAGTGGTGTTCACCAAGGCTCAGTTCTAGGGCCGGTTTTGTTTAATGTCTTTATCACTGATCTGGACGAGGGGATGGAGTGTACCCTCAGCAAGTTTGCAGATGACACCAAACTGGGTGGGAGTGTTGATCTGCTCGAGGGGAGCAGGGCTCTGCAGAGGGACCTGGACAGGGCTGGGTCGATGGGCCGAGGCCAACGATATGAGGTTCAACAAGGCCAAGTGCCGGGTCCTGCACTTGGGTCACAACAACCCCATGCAACACTACGGGCTTGGGGATGAGTGGATGGAAAGCTGCTTGGAAGAGAGGAATCTGGGGGTACTGGTTACCAGACGACTGGGTATGAGCCAGCAGCGTGCCCAGGTGGCCAAGAAGGCCAATAGTATCATTCACCGGTACTCGGCACTGGTGAGGCTGCATCTTGAATCCTGTGTTCAGTTTTGTGCCCCTCATGACAAAATAGATGTTGTGTTGCTGGGACATGTCCAGAGGAGAGCCACAAAACTGGTGAGGGGTCTGGAGCACAAGTCTTATGAGGAACGGCTGAGGGAACTGGGGTTGTATAGTCTGGAGAAGAGGAGGCTGAGGGGAGACCTTATCGTCCTCTACAACTGTCTGACAGGAGGCTGTAGCGAGGTGGGTGTTGGTCTCTTCTGCCAGGTAACGGGCGATAGGACAGGAGGAAATGGTCTGAAGTTGCACCAGGTGAGGTTTAGCTTGGACATTAGGAAAAATTTCTTCACTGAAGGGGTTATCAGGCACTGGAAGGGGCTTCCCAGGGAAGTGGTCGAGTCCCTATCCCTGGAGGTATTTAAGATGGGTAGACAAGGTGCTTAGAGACCTTGGTTTAGTAGTGGACAGGTACGGTCAGACTTGATGATCTTAAAGGTCTTTTCAAACCAGATGATTCTATGATCCAGGGAGGGTGGAGAGGATAAGCCTGGCACAGCTCTTGCTCTAAGCTTCCTCTACAGAGGCAACATTTCTCTCCACCTGCAATGAGGAGTAGGTGATCCGAGCCTGGGAAACTCAAGAGTTGATCCTATATAAATAAAAATGGTTGTTTTAAAAAGCAAATAAGAAACAGGTCCTTCTCCTCTTCCACCCACCTTTTATAAAATGGATCAGAAGCAAAGCATGGTGCGTCACCACTATGAAGACTTAAAACAGTGCATGCCATTTCAATACAGCTTGTCTGCATAGGCTCCCTTGAGCAGGGGTTGGATATGTGTGAGGATTTCATCAGTGTATGAATCAGAACAGAGACAAGTCAGCAGAGCTCTCTGCTCACCACTTAATGCCTGTGTTTATCTGTACCCACACACTGTGTATCACCAAGTCTCAATGTACATTAGCTTTGTTGCTCATGCTGGCTTAGCACCCATCTGCCAGCTCTTCCATGAGGGCAGCGCTAGCAGCCCAAGCTCACATGGTCATATGCCATATTTTATTGTGAAACACTCAGCTTTTTTGTTTGTAGAGCCTAGTTACACATTTTAGATAAGTATGATGAAATACTGCGTCTGTTTTGTTTTGTTTTCCATCTCCCATATGCTAAACACCACACTGAGACATGCTCAAACACCTACTAAAAAGGAGCCATCTGAGAGGTATTTAGTTTCACAGCCAAATATGGACCTTGGCTGAATCAAATTCCAGGATGCAGACATTTGGGATGAAATCTAGATCCAAAAGCCAAATTCCAAATTTTTGTAAGGTGCATGGAGAGCAAACAGCTGAAGCTATTGACCACGATCATTGAGGAGTAATCCTTTAAAATTCGTGGTGGTTTTTGTAGAGCAGAGAAAAGTCAGTCTGACTTAGAGCAGTGGGTCCCATCTTTCCTGTCCTTGTCATGCACAGCCATATTGCCCTTGCCATAGAAAATTCTGCGGCGGCAGCGTGAGCATCCTGCTTAGCGAAGTGCTGGGGAACAGCAGCTGAGGCATAGCACTGCCACACCCTGCCTTGCAAAGAGGCTGGCAACTGGGCTGGGATCCATTCCCAACCTCACCACTAATTTGGCAGGCATCCCACCCAGCTGCTC